GTAAATATTTTGTGACAGTTGAAATTTGAAGTACGCTGTGTTAGTAGTATAAGTAATATTTAGATATTAGAGCTTTTAGATGGAACATATGTTGGGAACTTCCGGTGGGCTACTTTTGATGTTAATTGATGCTCTATGTTCTGTCAAGTCATTGACACATGATATTGTAATGTTTCTTATGGTGTTATACACACCGGTCTATTATAAAGTAGTAATTCTATTATGACTTATGCACTACTATGAATTTGTAATCTTTCTAGTATATACCTGTCGAGAAGCTATTATATTCTATTATGAATTTGTAATCCTACTTTGGCTTGTTAAGAAGCTTTTATTGGGAGATAAGTTCAGATTGCTGAAGGAAACAGTCTTAACGAGCTTCTACGAATCGAGCTCGAGTCGAGCCGAGCCTTGATCGAGCTCGAACCGAGCCTACCTTCAAGCTCGAAGGTAATGCTGGGCCCGAGCTCGAGCCTGTACCGAGCTTGAGCTTAGGTAGGTAAGCTCGCTCGAGCTCGGCTCGTTGACAGCCCTAGCGACGGTGAGCTCGGAGGTTTCTATGCTACATCGGCGAGCTCGAAGATGGTTGCATTGGCCGTTCGTCGGGAGCTCGGCGATGGTTGTGGCGGCGTTTCGTCGGGATCTCGGTGACCAAAAGCGGGAGGGAGATAGGCAGTCTTCAGTCTTCACTCGTTCCCTCCAGCCCAGGCGTCGCCGTCCAGTGCTGCGGCTGCGCGCGTCCGTGCGCGGCGTCTCAGGGTCTAGCTCGCCGTTGACCATGCAGCCCCCGAACGGTGGCGAGCGGGGGCACGGCAATCCGGGTCGCCGCCGTGGATCTTCAAGGTATGTGTGCCTGCTCCCGTCCTTCTTCAAGGTCCAAGTGTACTGCTTCGAGGTCCTTTTATTCAATCAGTGCTTTTCGAGTTTTATGATTTATTCATGACAATACCAGCATGGACAACGTTCCGAGGGGAAAACCAGTCATTTTGATTTCTGACAGTGAAGATGGTAAACCAAATTCTTTTTCCTACTTATTCATGTCCTTTCTTCTTTGTTTCGAACTAAAATGGTGCTTACAAACCAAAAACACGGGAAATATTATTGTAGATGATGATGAAGTTGCTAAGATATATCAAAGCGTGCGCAAGTGCTCCATTGAAAGAGGTGATTATTTTCATATAAATAATTAATAAGTCCAAATGTACAGAATGTTAGGTACTGCTAGTCAGATGATGTGCTTGTCAAACTTCCAATTTCAGGTCAATATGGACCTCGCACCTTCCCTGGATTTGATAGGTAGTACTGGTATGGGACTGAACATGCAGTACAAAATTGCTCACATTGCTGTAAGCAATTTGCCTACCATTCCACTCTATGTGTATGAGATCCAGATGACTAATTTGACAAAAGGGAAAATGGTATGGTTCACAAATCTGACTGCCCTGTATTTGCATTTGTTTATACATAAATGTCCTGAGTCTAAATGTCTTGTTTATATTTTTTAGGCCTTCAGTTTGCCATTTAGCAAGCAGTACATAAACAACCACCTTTCAACACCAATTGATGATTTACTTGTGACTCTGGTTGGATCAGCTGAATCCTTTGAGATGAGACTGAAGAAATCCAAAGATAAGCGGGCTACCTTTACAACTAGATGGAACAAGTTGGTTCAAGCCAATTTATTCGAGCTTGGTGATGTTTGTGTGTTTCTGTTCACTGAAGTTGATGATGACCTATGTATTACTCTTGAGGTTCTCAACTAGTGTAATGGATGAAGAACTTTGATGTGCCCCCTCATAATGTAGTAGTATGCCCCCTCCTAGTGTAGTATCTGCACCTTATGTAATGGATACTATGCAGCAGCTTTTGTTCAACTTTAATGGAGGCCATGCAGCAGCTTATGTTCTAAGTTAAGACAATGTTATTCTGATGTAATATATTTATCATCTATTTCCCTAAAATTACCTAGTTGTTTGCATCACTTCAAATCTGATATGGCAAGTGTACAGTTTTTATGCTACTGGAGTTGTTGATTGTTGTTGGAATCACTGCTACAAAATTAAAATGGCTGCCCGTTCTGTTCTGAAAACTAAAAACATGCTACGGAAGCTTCATCTTGATTGTTGCTGGAATACTATACTTAATTGGGCTGAAAACACACAGAACAGAAGCAGCTGGCATGAATACAAATGAGTTTAAGAAACTTTAGTTGGCTGGAATACAAATGTAAGGTGCACACACAAGAGCGTCGGACGATGCAGGAACAACAGAGACCACAACAGCAGGAAGCGACGCCCGAGTATTCCGGCTGGATGCGACGGTGGATGCGGCAGGGTGGAGGCGGCGATTTTGATGCGCCTGGCGTCGTCGTGGATGAGTCGATGCGCCTGCGGATGGCTGGATGAGACAACGAGTTCTTGCGACGGCGGGATGGATGCGCCGGGGTGGAGGCTGCCGCTGTATGCGACGACGGGATGCGCCGCTATTGACGACGGGATGCGGGTTGGACGTCTGCCGCGGCGTCCTCGACGGCGGCAGACGCGTGTTCGACGCGCGGCCGCGGTGGCGTCGAGGGTACGTCGGCCGCGGGGGAATACCTGCGATGAGACGGCGGCTGCGGCGGACAAGATGAGACGCCGGCAACAGATATTGGCGCTTGGCGGCCGCCGCAGACTATTGGCTGGGATGGGCGGTGATTAACGCTACCCTAATTTGTTTAGCCCCATCATACCCTTCCTAAATCAACGGTCAGATTACATTGGTACCTCATGGTACCTTCTTAAGGATGGGAAAGATGCTCTCTGAAGCCAAATCTCAACAGCAAGAGCAAGCTGCTTGTAGCTCTACTCCATCGAGCATGCTTTATGGAGATTTTTAGTGGCCGGAGCTGATAACATATTATTGCACTCAGGGAAATAACATCGATAGTGTGACTAGACAAGTAGGCATCCAACGAATCAGGTTGGTAAAAGACAGAAGAAAAGTAGACGGCATAAATGTTTCTTATCTTCCTTCAAGTTGGTAACTGGTAAAGGTTAAGCTAGTAACCAAGGACTTAGCCTCGACCTAGTACATAGATGCAGCCATTACAGATGAAGTCATGGAGGGGATATTTGGATGTCATGGAGCTAGTTGGAGAAAGAATAAATAAGTAGACAGCATGTTTTCTGAAAACCAATTAAGGGTTTCTCTTTTGATGGGTAGCCAAGAAGGCTAGCCTTTCTTCAAGCATGGACGGCCAAATTTAAAACTTACAGTTAATTAATGTGACATCTCAGGCTTTTAAGCATATGGTAAAGCTCCTGTAACTGTACCGTTGGTTTTACACTTGTAGGAAATGTTGAACTAGTTGCTATCTTACAGTTTTATCAACAACCTGCAAGTCAAAATTAAACACTGGTTATATTCCAGCAGAGCGAAACTATAAGTTAGCCAATGTCGGTGTTCTGTGTGCTGCTTGTTGTTTACGAGGATATTACCAACATTTGGGAATATATCAAGCATATTTTGCTCACTTTGCCCATAAAAGCTCAACTGATGCCATGCCGAAAGGAGATAGCTTGTTCTACATCATTGCCACAATGTCACAGAACAGGAAAGCACAGCAGAGGCACGAAGCATCAATGAGAAGAGTTCAAAAAAAAAAAAAAGGGAGAAGAAAAGACAGAGAATCAGTTTGTTTTTGCTTGTCCGGTAGCCATCAGTCCCTACTTCCAGCCACTAACAACAGAAGAGAGGATCGTCCTTTTCAGCAGCCAGCACCCACGAATTGACTAGGTGATCGACGATCAACTGAGCTGCCCATGTAGGGATGGCAATTTTACCATGAGTCTGGGTATCCATGGATACCCGACCTGACGGGCATGGGCGTGTGTGTGACTTTTTACCCATAGGCACGTCCGTCCAAGATCCGAAGATGTTATGGGCAATAGGTGGGTTTCAATTTTTACCCGTGAGTAACCCATGCTCAACCCGATACATATGTATTAACTACTTTTGACTCATTTCTTAATTCTTATACCATTTCTCTCGGTTCATTTGTGATGCTAACTGATACTAAGTTGTGATGTAATTCAAATTATTGTTGATAAACGGTGATTTGGTAAATTATTGATTTTATTTCTCTTTCTTAAATTACATATCTTTCAAGTTATTATTCATGTGAGATCTATTGGGTACCTGCCGGACATACCCGCGCCCGCTGGGCATGGGTACGGGCACGGAATTTTACCCGCTAACTCTAGTGGGTAGGGTTTGGGCGGACAATGTCGGGCATCGGGTCGGGCATGGTTTTGCTCAAACCATGAACGACCCGACCCATTGCCATCCCTATGCCCATGATGTACGTACCTGTACTTGCCCAAAGGATTGCAGATTTGCAGTGTCTGTACCTATTAGCTTGGCATCGATCGCTGTTGCAACTTGCAAGCAGTTGAACACGGCAAACTAACGCATGTGCGACTCTGCCCTGACATGCAAGCCCCATTATTGAGATAGTAAGTCAATAGCGAGATAGCCACAGCTTCACTACTGCCACTAATCTTTCGTGTACGTGAATTAATTCTCAGGTTGAATTTTGCATGGGAGGATGAAGATGCAAGTAAGGATTAATGGAGGCTTATACCCGTGTGTTAATGGTGTTCTGTTCCGGATCGGGTGGCTGCGTGTGCGCCCGTTCCGTATTGTGTTTGTGATTAGTTGTTGCGCCGCTATGGTACAAAGCATGAAAAGTTAAACGAACCAATAAAAATAATTTATAAATAATATTTTTCCAATAAAAATAATTTATAAATAATATTTTTTCTAAACAACTAAAAGTCAGCAATAAAAAATAAACTACGAAAAACAAAATCAAAACCATCATGCTAAAATTAAGTTTTAAAACATAGATTAACTTTTGTCAAAGTTGACTTATCTTGGGCCTTGGCCCAGTGATCCCATCACATGAGAGCTCAGAAAGCCCAACATCAAGAAGCCCACAAGAACAACCACTACCTTCCCGCAGCACGAAGCCATCCCCATCACCTCCGTCCGTCCGACCCACCCAATCGCCCACCACCCACCCACCGCCACCGTCCCGATCTCCGGCCACCGTCATGCCGTCCGCCGGTGCCGGCGCCGCCTTCCTACTCCGTCCAATCTCCGCTACCACCCACCCTCTCATCAGCTTATCCTGTACCGGCGCCGGCGACAGCGCGAACCACAAGTCTCACCTCCTCTTCCGCCTCCACCATTCGTGCCGCCGCCTGCCCGTGCCCCGCCTCTCCCTCACCCCGGCCCCCACCGGCAGCAATAATTCTCCGCCTCGCCTCCGCGGCGTCCCCGGAGCCCCCGCCCCCTCCCTTCTCCAGGTGGTCCCCGCCGCGCGCGATCTGGCGGGGGCTCTCGGCGCTGCTTCTCGCGGGGCAGGTCTTCCACCGCGTCCTCACCGGCCGCGTCCACCGCCGCAACCTCCTCGCGCAGCTCCGCCGCGTGGGCCCCGGGAGCGCGGGGGTCTCGCTCCTCACCGCGGCATTCGTCGGCATGGCCTTCACAATCCAGTTCGTGCGCGAGTTCACTCGCCTCGGCCTCCACCGCTCCGTCGGCGGCGTCCTCGCCCTCGCGCTCTCCCGCGAGCTCTCCCCGGTCGTCACCGCCGTCGTCGCCGCGGGCCGGGTCGGCTCCGCGTTTGCTGCAGAGCTGGGGACCATGCAGGTGTCGGAGCAGACCGACACCCTCCGCGTCCTTGGTGCGCAGCCCGTCGATTACCTCGTGGTCCCTCGCGTCGTCGCTTGTGTGCTTGCGCTGCCCGTGCTAACCCTCATGAGCTTCGCGCTCGGTCTGGCGTCCTCGGCATTCTTAGCTGATTCGATCTTCGGTGTCAGTACCAGCATCATTCTGGAGTCAGCGCGAAGGGCGCTGCGGCCATGGGACTTGATCAGTTCCTTGCTAAAATCTCAGGTGTTTGGCGCCATTATTGCTGTTGTGAGCTGTGCTTGGGGTGTCACCACCCATGGTGGAGCCAAGGGCGTTGGAGAGTCCACCACATCTGCAGTGGTCGTTTCTTTAGTTGGGATTTTCGTTGCGGATTTCGCTCTATCATGCCTGTTCTTCCAAGGAGCTGGTGATTCTCTCAAATATGCAATGGGTTGAAGCAGGAACGCAGCAGAGAAACCTTTTGGCTTCATCGCAGCATAGTGTAGTGGTGTACATTGACATGTATGGTGTAGTGGACTCGAAGTGGTCGGCGTTTCAACATCAGCCACTCTCAGGTGAAATGAATCAATGTTCTTGTGGCATCCATTGGAAGTCGATGCTATGCTTTTTGTGTGTTGTGCTAAATTATTGCTCAACTTTTTGCTTCTATTTCGTGTATAACTTTACTATTACTTCAGAAAAGGAAATAACACTACATATGTCTATTTTGGCTTTCTAATGAATTGTTAAATTCTGATACTCCATCAGTCCAATTTAAGACCAGCTTAAGCAGCGGGTGTAAGATACATATTGCTTGCCATGGTGTTTAGAGAAAAATCACCCAAAAAAAAAATCAGGAGAGCACACAAGTTTCATAAGCTCGGTCTTATTAAGAAAGCGAAGCAGTGAATGTAGGAGAGCACACAAGTTTCATAAGCTCAGTCTTATTAAGAAAGCGAAGCAGTGAATGCAATCTTGCTATCTGAGCTTTTTAGTTATTCTTGGATGAGAAGAACTGCAGTACTTTTTGTCAACAAATCTATGAGTGTAAAACAAAAGTGTTTGTTGAGGCGAACAGCGGTTCCTCTGACTTTCTGTATGAGCTGGCAAGTGAAACAAAAGTGCTAGATACATGAAGATGGTAAGCAAGATCATTAACTGTTCATAGACCATGAATCTGGGCACCGTAGATAATGATATTTCACTATTATATGATGACATATGCAGGGACCCTGTCAGCACGCAGGATTGGCAAGCCATCTGAGCATGTGAGGTAAATCCATACCTTATTGACTGTATTTCAATCATGTGGTCTGCTTTTATTCTTGCACCTTTGATTTTCAGGCTTCACTTGATGAATTGATAGGAACAATTTTGTGAACTTTTCTGATATATTGTTATCTGACATGGATTTGACTGGATCAATTTTGTTTGCTTTGGGGGACAGTTAACCTTAACTTTATGTGAACTAGGATTGAAATGTGGGTTGCATGCCCCAACACATCTCTGAATTTATACACTGGACCTAGTTAGCTTATGCATTGAAATAATTGAGGAACATAGTTTCGTTTTCAACATGAGAGAACCTAAATTTCGAAGGTATGGACACCAATTCTATAATCCATAACCTAAATTCATGATATACCAGTGTATAAATTCGAAACTTATGCAATGGCTCTTTCAAAGTCTGACCTAAATGTATGATATACCAGAATAGACAGCTAAGTTTCAAATTCACCTAAAGTACTTTGAAACTTAGTCTCAAATTCAAATTCACCTAACTAGTGGTATATCATACACCTAAAGTACTTTACACCTCATGCAATGGACACCTAAGTTTCAAATTCGAAAGAATCTAAATTTTGAAGCTATGGACACTTGGGTTTCGAATTTATACACTGTATCTCCATCATGTGTGCCCAGGCCAGGGTAGCAGTGACTGACACGAAGAATGACGGTGCCTATCTGCATCATGGTGAATATTGGTGCTGTTGGATTGATCATTGGTGGCAAAACTGGCTCTCAGCGTCACATACCTATATATAAGTGACTGGTTGAAATCATAAAGACCAGGTTCTTCAACATACCTTGTAGATTTTCAATCTAATGTTTGTGTAGGTAGATTTTCAATCTAATGCTTGTGGAACATGCACTTCTCAAATTTATTAACCAGTGACTTGAATAATCATTTGGCATTAAAAACTGTTTCTGTTCTCCAATTGAGTCTGACTTCTGAATTTGGTATTTGAACTGGCAAGGGTCGAAGCACCTATGACATGTGTAGACCATGTTCAGTTTCAGAAAAGCACAGCCGCCGCCAAAATTCAAGCACACAGGAACTGTCTTACTACTTACTAGCTGTGTTTCTTTATATTTTAGCTATTGTCATTACCTGGCAGAAGTTTGTTGTGGTATTATATTGATGTGATCTTTTTGAATGAAAACGACTGGTATTGCCATGTGGTAGAAACGGTCAAGCAGCCGTACATTTGTTTCTCTTGCTGTTGCTTGTGTTCTCATCTAGCAACACGTGCGTTTGTGGGTTCACCTGCTGAAGTGCTAATACTTGTTCCGTGGATTATACATCTGATCGAGTTTTATCTGTTCTGTACTCGAGTGTAGTCTACGGTTATACGTGATAAAAATACGCAGCTTTTCACTTGTTGAGAAACAATCATGCAAACTGTAAATCCAAGGCACGATGGAAGATCATAATTTTTTTTTAATGGAATGCCCATTGAAATGAAAGCTGCTGAACAGGTGCACATTTGTATTGCGTATCTACATCTCATCCTCACATAAAGCGGCTCACGGCTAAGCCGGTCAGCACTAACTTATTCACTCTTTATTTACTACAGTATGCTTCATAATTCTGGTAAAAAAAATGTAGATCAAACAAATTGTGCCTTGCTCTGTACACCGGTAGAGCACATAAGGTTCATCCACTTCTTGTCATGAGAGCAACAAAGAGCCGTTTATGACAGGAAGAACTGATGTAACTTTGTCGACAACTCCGGGAACACACGGGTTGGGCGGTATTTGTTGTCGAGGCAAACGGCGGTTGCTTTGGCATCCACTACGAGCTGGGAGAAGCAGCAGTAAAATCATTGTGTGAGATCGATCGATCACCATTAGCTAAAATTAGAGAAACTTTACTATGCTTGAAAAGTACCTAAAGATAATTAAAATTTACACTAAATTATCCCAAGGTATCAAGCTTTACACTAAAAAGTATAATACCTCTTAATAAAATCACCTCTAAATTAACAGAGAATGAATTAGCTGTAGAATCCCTGTGTATTCATGCTTACCTTACGATCTGGCAGCGTCTCGATCAAATGTTCGACGATTATTCTCACACCTTTGATCTTCACGACCTTCATCCTGACGACGAATCTATCATCCTTCTGGAAATAACGCAAGGCAAATGTTTGTTAGATTTTCTCGGTGTGTGTGCCGTGACCATAAAAACATGAAGTTGATCAAGATTGGGAGATAGATGTCCAAAATAGTAATAAGTAAAACAAGAAAGAAGATGTACCCGTAAGGGCGTGTAGAACTTGAGGTTCAATTCTGAAAGAGCCAGCGCGTTGCCCGTCGACGTCCAGTAGTCCACGCCAACGCCGACATTTTCAAGGAAAACGTCACGGCCTGATACACATGAAACGCACGGTTCAGATTATTTATAACAGGTTTAGCATGCAGATGCTTCAGTTACTTTTGGAGATGTATTAGCTTACCACTGTGGATGTAGCTGGCGTAGATGGCGTTGTTGACGACGCCGTACTCGTCAAGCTCGTCGTCCTGGACCGTCATCTCGACCTCGTAAAACCCGTCCTTCGTCCTGAGAGATTTCATAATACCCAAAACATCAGAGTTAATTTTTTTTCTCTGAAATATCAAAAGATCAACAATAGAAATTACAATCTCCATTTTTAAATGAATTTATGATGATGGTGATTTTAGACATGATATTTGATCATTTATTTTATTTAAAAGGACTTTTATGTAAGTAAGTATTATTTATTCTGTGGGGACTTGTTTTAACATTAATTGTACTTTAGGTATGATATACCCTTCGTTTCAGGTTAGAAGATGTTTTGATTTTAGTAAAAGTCAAACTACTTCAAATTTAACTAAGTTTATACACAAATATACTAATATTTATAATTACAAATTAGTTTTATTAAATCAATAATTAAATATATTTTCATAATAAATTTGTTTTGAGTTGAAATTATTATTATTATTTTTTCTATAAACTAGATTAAATTTAAAGCAGTTTGACTTTGACTGAAGTCAAAACATCTTATACCCTGAAACGGATGGAGTATTTTTTATATTAAAAAATTGAGTAAGATGGTAAATATCAATGTCTGAAAGTTTACAATGTCATGCATATATTCAAAAATGAAGTGAGGAAATTAATGATTAATGGAGTAGATTGGTGAAATGATCTCGATCGAAGGAGGACCTTGAGCCGTTCTGCTGTTTTGCTGACTTCTTGGCGGGAGCATAATCCTGCAGCAGCTGCAGGCTGGGATTCGAGGCAGCAACGTGGACATCCTGAAGCAGGCTGGATTTTGCGGCATCGACGACGCGGCGAGTCGTCGGGTAGGCGTACGCCGTGACCTTTCCGAGGCTCGCCCGCCGGCGGCCGAGGGGCACCACGCGGCGGCCGGAGCCGGGGCTGGCGATGCTGCCGGCACGGGCAGGGAGGCAGTGGCTGCTGCACAGCTGCTGCTGCTGCATTGTGAATTCAGTACTAGTATCTCTAGCTGCTATATATATTCAGGCCTCAGGCTAGCTTATCGCCGCCTGAACTGTGTGTGTGTATCAACTGCTAGTGTGTAGTAGAACTCACGTTGCAATCGGCGAGCTGATGAAGCGATTGCTGTGATATTTCCCTCATGGCGGTGCATGCATGGCGCTTATATAGGTGATGATCCGTGGGACAGGAAAGGACAGGTGATTAGCTGTTCAACGCTGCACACGTAGTTTTTGCAACGGAAAGTCCAATCCGGCGTGTAAGCTAGCTAGGTGATTACCGTTCTTCTCTCTACCCTCAAAAGTCTGAGTTTGCTCGCATGCGGTTTTTGCGTTGAAGACTGTTCGGTTGTATAGAGCAGAGTACGCGCGCTGGATTTTACCTTTCCTGGTCGTCGGACCGGTCACCATGAGACAACGGCAGAGAATGAACTGGGCTTCCATATGCACAAACCACAGTGTAGTGGCACGTTTCTTGACCAGAGTATTGGGGCGCCGTCGCTGGTGGCGCACCCAGCTAAGTGACGGCCCATGGGGGTCACCGGCTGGCCGGCCGGTCGTCGACCGTTAGGGCTGATACGATATTGCGGTGATGGAGTTGGGAAGCATTAAAATACTGTTACTCCGATCCTGACAGTGTTGATTTGTCAGGTTGGGGTATGTACAGTGGGTCTGTGAGATATCGTATCTAGGTTGCGTCATTTGATCTTTCGGAAACAGTCTGCACACACGCAGATTCTTAGCAATTGCCATGCCTTACTATAATCTGAACACACAAATTTGCAACGTGTGAAATTCATATGCACTCTGTAAAATTTCACACACACAAAGAGGCATATACTACATGCTAAATGTGTGCATTTTTCACGATCGCGCAAAAAAATTATACGTCTATATTAGAAGGAAATTCACATGTGTGCATGGGACACCGACATCTAAGCCTATATACACGTGCAAAGGGTAAACTATGACAGAAATCATTTTAAATCCCCTCGTTAGAGGCAAGGCCTGCACCGTGACAAATACTATTTTAAATCCCCTCGTTGTTTGCATGCCTCTTGAACAGGTATAAAAAAAATTTAAGAATGTGTATTAATATATTATATATCACTCCATAAACATAAAATTTACAATTCAACTTCTACATGTCGCAAGACAAAACAAATTTAGTAATGTAGAAGTTGAGTCAAATTTATTTTTTCCGTTGTGACATGTTGAATTCTAAATTGGATATTTGTAGAGTGATATATCACATATTAATACATCTTCATATTTTTTAAAAAAATCGTAATTATTTAAGTGATATAATTAACGCGAGACTTTAAAATCCACTCCGGTGCGTGAGGACATTATGATCGAGTTTTGACTTCTGCTGTAAAAAACGTGCTGGTCCTCATCGTCGAAAACTAGCCACACGCTTATTCGACATGATTATTTTTTATGAAAAATGCTGCAAACAATAGTGATCCTATCTTTCATCAGAAGGAGGAAAAAATAAGCATAAACACGACAATTCCTCTGCACCAGAGAGATGTTTCAAAAACTAGATACTCTCGAGCAAACAAATTCCCGCTCAAACAGTAAAGGTTTTTACCATGTACTGGTGCACGTGCCACATACGTCACATATATTCTGATAATTCACACTTAGTCACAGCACCACTTACCGCAATTTGACAACCAGATTAGTAATAACATTTTTAAATGGGGAACTATGCCACGAGCAAAATTCAAGGAAGAGTGGTGTATTTTCTAGGTTGACCTATATATGATGATGTGGAAATCAAGCACACAGGAAAAAGTTTCGTGCGCGCACAATTAATTTGGCTAGTTATCTCTTTCACCTGACGCACCCTACGCAGTAATCTGACATTAATTATCCCATTGTTAGAGTACTTAGTCGGTAGCTAGGTTCTGACAGGAGCATGCATTATGACAGCGAGAGTTGTCAAGGTCCATGCAATATATTTATGCATGTTAATGTGGATTTCAAAAGAAAATGCCGATATATGCACGTAACCTATATGTTTTTCTCTAAAACGAGCAGAATCATTTCCTTCGTTTGCTATTTTTCTCTTCAAAGAAAAGCTCCAGCTGTGTGTTGCCTACGTGTACATGGACGCGTTCTCGTCGTCCTGCCTGCCTTGCGTGCGTGCGTCAGAGGCCGTCACGTTGGACCAACCAGCTCTCCTGGCGAGATCGGCTGATCTGGACCGTCTGGGCCATCAGGCGGAGCTGAACCGACGGCTAGGATTCGATGGGGGTACGGCGCACGAGGGCAGCAGCTAGGCAGGTTCCCCATTCCGATGAATGTGATGGCTTTACGACAACCCCGCGCGCCGTGAACGGTGGAACGTCGTCCCGTCCCCCCGATCCGGTTCAACATAGGGCGCCGCACGCACGAGCAGCAGCGGCACGAAGGCGAACGAGTGGACAGACTGGTCGCCATCGGCGGGCGGAAGGGGAGACGAGCGGCAAGCCGGCAAGGTCGCCTGCAGGGAAGGCACATGCCATCCGCGCGCGCGCGCGAGAGAGAGAGAGAGAGCGTATTGCGGCGCTCCATGCGCGGAGCGCGCGCCATGCCCGCTCCATGGCTGGCTCCGGTCGGGCGTGCGCGGTGCGCCTCCAGCTTCTCCTGCTAGCTCCCTGCAGCTACACCGCGCGCATCAAGAGACTGCCCGATTTTATCCGGGGTGTTTTCGTTCGACCTAGTATGGATATATTTCGGATGGGCACTTTTAAAATATTGGTCGACGTATATTGTGATTGATGAAATTATTATGAACACCTTGCTGTTAACGGGTAAATACTAGCACACATATTCTACCAACGCTCACTTCGCTATTTGGAAGCTTTTGCATATACAACTTCTCCAAGAACTAAAAAATTTTTAGAAAATAAATTAGAAACTTGAAGATGGGATTTTTAGCTTTTTCATATTCTCAGGAACGGAACTATCAACTAACTTTTTTTTGCGAATTTTAAACTCCCCTAAATATAGTCTATATCAAACTCCTACACGGCTAAAAAGGTATACCAATGATGTATTCGGTTTTTTTTTTCGGCTAGTGGAATTTAATCCAATCTTAATTGGCCAAAATTTCAAGCTTATGGTGGTTTCATCCAGGGTTCAACTTACCGTCGGTAACCGTGCGGTTACCGCGGTTACCGGCCGCGGGGGTACGGTAATAGAAAAACCGCGGTAACCTCCTTAAATTCAAATAAATTTAAAAAATAATTTGAATTTTTGATAAATTTTGCACGGTTTCGTACGGTTTTTTACGGTTACCGTGCTTACTGCCGGGGCACGATAACCCCGGCCCCGGTGGTTTGGGAAACCCTAGTTTCATCCATTGCGAAATCCGACTTTAACACAAACAAGACCTTCCGAGTGCGGCAGACCTTGAATTTCTTTTCCGGGGAGTGGATATTTAGGAATTCTTGTTAAGGGATAAAAAGGCACTAAGCTTTTTGCGGTCAAGCGGCCATTTGGAAACATTTCTCCCCGGCACGGTACGTTCTCGCTGATCCTGTTATGTGGGTTCATTTAGTGCTTTCGCATAGGTTACCTAGTGGATTTGTCCACGTAATTTCGTTCTAGATATTGCCACGTAGTAGCATATTGGCGAGGCTATCCGAAATCGCCATATGTATTCGGCTGCGTTCGGTAGCTTTTGATTGATTGCCCGAACTACTAAACGATATACTCCCCCTGGTTCTTGGACAAGGTTAATGTTAACCTTTTATAACTTTAACCATCAATAACTTTAAAGATATTTAGTTTAAAGAAACTAGAAAAACATATATAGATTTGTCTTTCAAAACACTATAATAAAAATAAACATGTATTTATTTATTGTATATATTATAATAAAAAAATAAGGTCAAATGTATATCTTGTAGAGCGTGTCATTGTCCAAAGCGTCAATTAAAATGAAACCGGAGGGAGTATTCTTTTAGAAAAAAATATAGAAAAGTTACTTTAAAAATTATATATTAATAACTCATTTTCAAATTTAAAATAATTAATAATTAATTAACCATACGCTAATGCTAATGGCTTATCTTGTTTTGCGTATCCTCGATCTTCTCTTTTCCTCGCATGTCAAACACAGCAGCCATTGTGAGCTAACCAGTGAAATAAAAAAAAATCTGAACTACTATGTTCAATGTTAGTAGATGTTTTGAACTAAGAATGTGCAAATTTTTAACTCAAAACTGAAAATTTTGCATAAAGTTAAAATTTCGATAGCTTTTTTCCATTGGGAGATGTTCACTACTTATACTAGTCAATTGGTGAACATTCACTCTATCACAACTAGTAATTGGATGCCTGGGACTGAAAGGTTCATCCATTGTGTGGAAAGGGTTCAGAAACCTCAGATCTCCTATGAATAGAACTTGAGCCCTTGCCTGACTAAAGCCGGGTCTCATAGATATGTAACCTAGCACAGAAAGAACCAGTGCTCAACACCCCCCCCCCCCCCCAAAAAAAAAAAAAAAGTTTCTCACATCATATCCATGAGCTCAACATAGCCATTCAAAGTTTTTGCTGAATTTGGACGATGTATTCAAACGTTGGAACGCGTGCTCACTCCAAGAAAATCAAATAAAGAATGCAGTTAGATTTATCACAGATTAGAAATGTCACTGAAGTCAAATGCTTCAATCAATTGGTTCATTTGAACAAAGACAATACGATGGAAAATGGGATACAGTGATTTATCGCAGGTTATGACGATGAGTACAGTGACTTAACTGCTACTGCCTTCAGAAGTGAAGAACTGCAGCTTGGACAGGAACTCTGGAGATATACGGGTGGGGCGGTAGTCTTTGTTCAAACAAACCGCTGTTGCCTTCGCTTCCAAAATGAGCTGCTAGGAGAAGAATATGGAAAAGTGTGATCTATGCAAAGAGCAGTTGCAAAGGAAATCCTACGACCAATTTGTGACTGAAATAACATATAGATTTCATAAGTTGGTACTATGTTGCGAAAAATGCTAGTACGTTGCTACTGATGGCATTGTGCCATTGCTGCCAAGATTTGTTACCAACATGATTGAGAATTTGAAACGTACTGTGCTTTTAATTCCTTTTCCTATTCTAAAATCTGCAATTATTTGTGCTGCATACCTCACGATTAGGCAGCTTTTCAATGAAGTGCTCGAATATCATCCTTATACCTTTTGTGCTCGCAAGCCTGACCTTAACGACGAACTTGTCACCACTCTGACAAGTCAAAGAAACAAAGGGAGAAGTTAGACCCAAATGAACCTATTATCAATATTTAGAGTTTGATCTGTTATTAGTTTCATAGTATCACATCAACATTTTTCAGTTCTGGTTTTTTCACAACTTGGGAAACAAGGATGTTACTCTCAAAGGCGCGTAGTACTTGAGGTGCAGTTCAGAGAGGGCCAGCGACTCACCGCTGCGTGCTACTGCATCTGCACTTATGCCTACACTTTCAAGTAGCTCATGACGACCTGCTCAATTTTTTTAAAAAATAAATGAATCCTTAATTTTGTCAGAACCAACCATGGTAATCATATTATTTTAATTAAATTCTAAACATGCTATAGGAATCATATTAACTGACCTAATTAATATACATGAGATGTTCTTTTAGTTTGTTTCATTGGTAGAACAGAACTCACCATGTTGGCAGTAACTAGCATAGATGGCATTGTTGACAACCCCATATTGGTCGAGTTCATAATCTCGTACCTTCATCTCCACCTCGAAAAACTGATCCAACCTGAAAATTACAAGGACTAACAACAATTTCATATCCAGGGCATCATCCAGGATCATAGAAAAGTTGAACAAGCGAGGTATATTGATCATGATACCATCCAATATCTAAAGATATCCGGACTACTCAGGGGATCATAGACAAAAGTTTTAGCCAAAGACTAACACATAATTCGGCATTACAATGCACATCACATAATCCAAAAACTGAATTCACAAGCTTTAGCACTAGAAGGCATAAAATTGGCACTTCCCCCAAATTAACACCAGTTTAGCTGTGCGGCATTGTTCCTCCCATCCAGTAAGGGTACCAGGTATTACATTCCACCACAAACCACAATTCCAACTCTTCCTCAGATTCCATGAATAGCGATGAAGGAAATTCGACGAGTAAGTGCGGACCTCAAGCCGGCGTGGGGGCTGGCGGACTGGGCGGAGACAGCGAGGAGGCGACATGTGCGCCGGGTGGCGAGGTGCGTGAGCGCGAGCGCCCGCCGTCGTTGCGGTGAAGGGCGGCCTAGCCGCGCCGGCGGGCGGCTCGGCCGGGGAGCTCCGGCGTGGATCGGCGAGAGGGCGCTGGGGAGGAGGCGCCAAATCTGGTGGTGCATTGCGCTGCGGCGGAGGGGGGGACTGGTGCGGCGGCCGCGTGCCAACGTGGTCTACGCGGTTGGGGGTGGGGGCAACCACCAGTCCACCACCACCACCACTCAGATCCGCATTGATGCCGATTTGGCAACACTATTGGTTAGTTTCTCTGTGTTATCTCCGGCTCTCCGCCGCGAAAACCAAACGCAAATTTCCAAATCCCCGAGCCCCTCAACGCGTCCGACGCAGCGGCCGCCGGCCGCCTTCCATGGCCTCGTCTCTACCTCAGGCGGCCGTGAGGGCATATGCTCTCGGTCTCGGGCAGCACGGTCGAAGGCTTCATCGTCGGCGAGGTTAATCCCCAAAGGTTCGCAATGACGCACTCTACCCTCCGCTCTGCGCTCTGCTTCGCCGCATGATCCTAGCTGTTGCATCCTCTGCAGCCCCGCGGTTTCTCTTTGGAGCAAAGATGAGGAGAATCAATACGGTGATAATTCACTAAGGTGAAATCCAATTTCTGCAGTATTTTTGGCATTGGGGAACTCGTGGATGTAGTAGTAGTACTAGTGTACTCCCTCCATCCTATAAAAAACGAATCTAAAACCGAATATAATACATATGAATCTAAATATCTGAATATATATATATATTCAGATTCATACTACTAAGATATATCATATCCGGTTTTAGATTCGGTTTTTATGGGACGAAGGGAGTAAATATATAACGAGAGTACTCTCTGGTGTGGCCTTTTTGCTCCTTCTCAACTATTTTCTCCTTTTTCACACATGCTTTTAAACTGCTAAATAATATATTTTTTAAAATATCTATAGAAAAGTTGCTTTAAAAATATATTAATTTATTTTTAAAAATTTTAAACTAATAAATTTATACTTATGTGCTAATCCATTACTCTATTTTAATGTGTGGCACCAAACCAAACAACCTATTAGTTTTCAAACTACACTAACGAACACAGCGTGTGTAATTTAGGGCTTTAGGGACAGAGGTAGTATTTGCCATGTACTGAGGTACATAGTGCTGAGTGCTACTATGCATCATTGGTCTCTAAGCCATTGTATAACAATAGTATATTTTGAACATCTAGGGTGAATACAATTTTTCTTTTCATATGGGTTTTATCTTATTCTCAAAGACATAACTATAAGGAAGGGGGATAAAAAAATAATCTCATAAGGGATAGGATTAATTTTCTATACTTGACAATAGGGAATATATTTTTTGTAGAAAATATTGGCGCCACACTATCAATAATAGATTGTTTTTCCATTTTACCCCCTTGAAGGTCCAACCATAGGTTTTTGTTTTCTTTTTCAAAACTAAGGTGTTTCCCATGATGGCATGATGGGTGAGAATTTTCTGTAGTGTTAGCTTGATATTAAGATATCTGTAGTGATTAGATATTTTTGAACTATAATTGTTCTTGACGTCTCGCTTCTAAGCTAAGGGCATTTTAATTATTTTCTATAGAAAAGTTTTAATTCCATAGGACGTGTATTGCTTATATATATATATATATATATATATATATATATATATATATATATATATATATATATATATATATATATAATTTTGAGAACTTCACAAAGAGGCCAAACGGGTCAAGTTCAATGGAACACCAATTATCATAAGAAAAATGGTGTGCAGAAATAAAGCTCTTAATAATGTCAAGAGAGATTAGAACATTGTTAAGAACAAAGCAGCAATTAGCACTACGCCGGACCAGGTCATCTCTAACGGGCCCAAACCCTCACCTTTGACGGGTTTGGTCTTGGTCAGTGATTAGTGGTCACTGATGACAAAATCACCTGTGACGGATGAAACACCCGTCACAGATAACCCATCTCTGACCGGTATATAAGTCATCTCTGACGGGTTAAAACTTGTCACCCGTCACAGATGAGTCATCAGTGACGTGTCGTAACTACCTAACCGTCACTGATGACTCATCTCTGACGGGTTGTAACTTACGACCCGTCACTGATGACAAAGCAAGAAATACAATTTTTGAATTTTAAACGTATCAAAAAACCTAAAAAAAATATTTTGAATTTTACTAGCCATCCTATACATGGTTACACATCACTACCTACAAATTCACAATTTTTCACGCAATATAACTTGTATGCTACACGTGAGATTCGAACTCAAGACCTCAACCTCCATATAGAGCTCCCTTACCAACTCACCTACTCAACACATATTGATTACTCATCCAATGTTATTATTTTGTCTATGCTTGTCTGAATCATTTAACATATATTTAACACCCTAAATGACTTCAAATGAAAATATTATCAACTAAGTAGTTATAGATCTTATCGTGTTTTATAACTTTTACATAGAAAATATCTTCATCCGATGTTGTTTGAAGAATTCAAAATTTCATTTTTCAAAATATATCTCACTTTATAACATGTAAATTTTGTGAAATGAAAATATTTTCAATTATAATGTTGTAGATCTGGTTGAGTTCTATGACTTTGATACGGGGCATGTATCCATCCATGTCATTTGAAAAAAAACTCAAAATTTTGTTTTTAAAAGTAGATCTGATCACTTGTAATGCATGTTCGGGGATGTAAACGATCTCTAATAGAAATGTTGTTAGTTATAAAGTTGTGGATATCATTGAGAGCTACAACTTTTATATAGGACATGTTTCAATTCGAGGTTTTTTGCAAAATTTAAAAATTTGAATTTTCACTCATCACTGACGGGTCATAACTACCACCCGTCAGAGATAACATTATCTGTGACGTGTGTTAGTTAAAGACCCGTCAGAGATGAGTGGTCTCTTTTGTGATGGTTCATAATACTACACCCGTCACAGATGACATGTCATCTATGACGAGCCATGGTTGTGACCCGTCACAGACGATCTGTGACGGGTTACAAGTGCAAGCCGTCACAGATGACTTCACATCTGTGACGGGTCCTCCCTGGTAGCCATATATTGAAGAGGATATTTTTTTGGCCCGTCAGAGATTACTTATCTTTGACGAGTTGCGTTGGCCCGTCACAGATGACCCGTCACTGAAGCCCGGATCTATAGTAGTGTAGGATAGTGTAAGTAAGCACGTCCAACGGAAGTAATAGGGAGAAGACAGCCACTGCCAACAATAATATGAGAGGGGGTATTGTCGGTGGAGCTGTGAGTAGTGAAGAGGGTACCGGTGTTGTGACACAATCAACAGTATCGCCGATGATGGTAGCAATGACGGTGTCATCAACCTGCAAACCTAGGGCCGTCTGGAAGGAGGAGCGGAATGCGTTTTATATCATAGTCATAAGGAGGAGCGGACTGCGTTGGCGATGATCTTGATTGTGTCGTCGAGGACAGAGTCTATAGGGAGTTGGGAGGAGGAGACCAGGGCGGCGAGAGATGTCGGCCTGCCAGGTTAGGGTTTGAGATGCGAAAATAAGAAACCTAATATGATATCATAAGAGTGTGATAGGACTCAGCGCAATCGATTGTAATACCAATAGAGCGGTGTACATATAGGCTCGTACGTTCCGTTATCTCCACAACCGATTTATAGCAACAGTATTGAGAGAGATAGCGGAAAATATGTAAAAAAAATAAATAAATATGAGATATACAAAATCTAACAAGTTTTATAACACTTGAAAAATAGATATATTTGTTATTTTAAAACAACTTTTATATAGAAAGTTTTCGCACAAAACGCGCCGTTTTGTAATTTGAAAAGCGTGCTAACGGAAAATAAGATAAAATCTTTATCTTTATGAAGAGAGAAAAGTCTGTATTTTATCTGGCCTTGGTTTGACTTTGTCCTTCAATTAGAAGAACATTAAAATGTTCACTATTCATCCCCCAACTCTTATAACTGTCTATATTTCATCCCTGATCCAAATCGGAACTCTTAGAAGTGATTGGCGCCCATAGATGAAATATGGTCAATTTCAAAAGTTGATAATGGAGACCGATCTTATAGTCGAGGGATCAAAATCTACTAAGGTCATAGTTAAGGGATCAAATTTGGATTTTTCCTTAAAGTAACAACAAAATCAATTATATATTCACTATTCACCTCACATGCATGGGTACATGTCTACATGACAAAGCTTTTAAAACAGTACTACATAGCTACTATAGATCTTGTAAAGAGCTGTGCTTGAATTCTATAGCAGCTATCATTATAAGCCGGATCAGACAAAACGAATGAACGAATGAATCTACCGCTATATACTGCACTAGTCACTTCAATACTTTATATTTATCGTAATGTTCTATTCTTCGCTTTTGCTGTACTAACAAATGTACGTTCTTGTCTCCAGTAAATTAATTGTGGTGCCGAAAAACGGCTTTCAGACGTCAGGTGTAAGCCAGTGGAATCCGTTGACGAAGCTCTTGCCGAGGAAGGGGCGCGCGGCGAAGTAGTCGAGCTCCCGCGCCCACGGCACGCCGTGCACCGCGTCGGCGCCGGGCCCCCAGTTCCTGTACATCCCGAAGAACGCCGTCCTGCACGCATGCACGCCGTCGACAACATTTGCACAGGCGTTAGCTGGCTGGGAATTGAATAATATAGTTTCATTTTTTTATCAAGTTGATCAGGCTAGCTAGCTAGCTGAAGCAGTACGTACATGCTCTTGTTGCTGGCGTGGTCCCAGTCGTCCCAGCCGCCGGGGGCGATGACGCTGTCGAAGTAGGTGTAGGCGTAGACGATCCGCGAGTACTGGCCCATGGCACGGCCGACGTAGAGGCGGCCAGTGCCGGTGACCCGGCAGTTGACGAAGGCGAAGCCGGTGCGCTCGCACGGGTCGTGCCGCCCCTGCGCCGCCACCGAGCCGAACCGCTGCGCCGTCGAGTGCAGCTCGCAGTCCTTGTAGAGGGAGCGGCCGTTGCCGAAGACGAAGTCGATGGAGCCCTCGATGTAGCAGTCGCGGAAGTAGTGCCGGCCGGCGTCGTCGCAGAGCGTGTCCTGGGCGCCGTAGAACCCGCAGCCGAAGAAGAAGGCCTTGTCGCCGGAGATGCGGAACGCCACCGCCTGCCACCCTTGCATGCCGGGCATTGGTGCCGGAGCCGTGTTCTGCCAAGCCATAGGATTCAGGAACCCAGCGTCAGCTGTTGTTTGCTACTTACATGCATGCAATTCACTGGAAAAAAAAAGTTGGCCGGCCGCGTCGATCAGGCTGTAGCCTCTCTCCGCCGTAGCCGGAAGAAGCCATCTGCTTTGGCTGCTCCAAGAACCCGAAAATACATCCCTGTACAAACGGATTCAAAATATCAAAAGAACAAGGGATACACAGAGAAGAAGAGACGCCCGGCATGCAGCATTTGCAAATTTGCAAGATGTGGCTCGTGACACTGAAGGGTTTTGTCACTTTGTCTGCCTCTCTGCCTCGGCAGTCGGCACTGTACTGCACCGCATCTCCCTGTGCGTCTTGTGAGTCGCGTACGTTGGCGGCCGGGTCCATGGAGACGGACCACTGGCTAATGCATGGCATGGCGCGCGAACGGTGTTTGCTAGCTCACCTTGAAGCTGATGTTCTTAGCAGTGAAATAGTTAGAGAGAACGGTTACGGAGGCGGTGTTGTAGGTTCGGAGCTGCTGCCCGTCGGGGCCGCGGTCGCTCGCCCTGTCGTGCCACTCCACCACCGTCACGTCGCGCCCTGCTCCCTGGAACGTGATGTACGGCTTCGTCGCCGGCACCACCACCTTCTCTCTGCACGCACACATATATCACGTCAGAAACGCAAACTCTGCACACGCATGCATGAGCATGAGCATGAGCTAACTGGGTATAGCTTACATGTAGGACCCTGCGTTGATCTGCATGATGACGCGCACGGTGTTGTTCTCCGGCACGGAGTTGACGGCCTGCTGGATGGAGAGGAAGTCGCCGCCGCCGCTCGCGTCCACCACGATCCGCCGCACGCCCACCGGCTGCCTGTACTGGTGGTGCCCGCGCGTCGGGCGCTCGCACGGCGCCGGCGCCGCCTGGCACGCCAGCGGCGGCAGGAGGCTCGTCGCGAGCGTCGCCACCGCGAACGCCATCACCACCACCACCCGCTCACGAACCATATCGATCGGTTTGCGTGTGTATCCCCCCCGTGTATCGATCACTCAAAAGCGTGACAACGTTTTCGCGCGTACGTGCGTCTTTGTCACTCAAACTTTCGCTAGCTCTCCTCTCTATATCTCTCTCTTCACATGCACGCGGAATATGTGGTGAGAGAGACCGAGACTGTGAGGCAGGGGTTCGGAATTTATAGGGCTGTGAGGGGGGAGGAAACGGCCATGCAAATAATGGAGGAGAGAGCTAAGCTATAGCCGCCCGACGGGAACACTCCAAGAGCTAAGCTAGCTGCTGGCGCTGCGGCCCCGGTTTGGAATTTCTGCTTTGGTCGGACGCCAACGGTCATGCATGCAGCTAGCTAGCATGCTTTCGATCGCTAGCTTTCACCTGGTAGTTTAGCTACCGTAGCTAACGTATAATAATTCTGCGTTAATGTTTCAGAAAAAGAGAGATATTTACGGACACTGATGAGTGATGACTGATATATCAAAATCATACAATGTACGGATACCTCGTCCATATGTTTATTCACTGAGATACCAGGTTGAGTTCCTGCACTTAGCTGATATTTTAACATTTTTCTTGTCATAGAACAATTGCAACGTCATCGACGGAGCTCTAAACACACAATAGACTTACCGATCTCTCCAAAATGTCGTCGCCCAGCTAGCTTTTGTGTATACCCCAAGTACAATTTTCAGTCCGTAGCATCTGAGTATATCTGCGTACCAAAACCCGAGTCACATCGCGTATCAACATTGCATCAAAATATGTGTTGGACATATACACCAGCTTTTCCGAATCCCTAGACGCGAGAGAGCGATGGTCCTGATATACCGTGGGCCAACACCGGATAGAGACACGGCGTGTACATGGATAGGAGCGTAACTGTGATCAGAGCATGCATGGCCAACCATAAGTCTCCCTTCGCTGCAAATTAATATGCCGTGAAACTTGGCTAGATTACAAACTGGGGACACCGAGAGATGCCACCACTACGCACGAGATAGAACAGTACGATCCCTCTGCTACCTTCCTATCGGTTAGCTGCAGGCTTTTACAGTCACAGCATGCATGATACTCCAACGACATATACAAGGTACGGAGTATATAGTATATATCACTATATATACTAATGCAAGAAGCCTAATTGATTAGCTGGGTGTCTGCAGTGTACCGGTAGGATTAAGTTAAACTAACGCAGGGAGGAATGATCCAAGAATTAGCGTACAGGCGCATCATGCCGCGCTTGCTCTCGCGGCTGCGCCCATGCGTTGCACAGCACATGCAGAGCATATGTGCGTGCGTGCCGTGCAGGTAGGTCGAAACCCCCTCTCGCGTTGGGAGGCGCGCGGCACGCCGGGCGGCACGGTGTACCCCGCCGCAAGTAGTAAAGTCGAGGCACTTTGGATCAATCCGTCCATTCTCTTTGTAGCGGCGAGTAGATCACAGCGTTAAAAGGCTAAACCTTTTCGTCTCTGATCCTTGTTCTCTTCTGTGTGTTATGGGCGCCTCTCCCTACTAATTGCATTGTCTGATATATTTACACGGCTCTTTAGTTGTTGTCTGCTGCTGATGAGTTTGAGGACCACATGGTGTTGCTAAAAATTAAGGGCCCCTTTAAATCGTATAGAAAAAACGAAGGAACAGAAAAAACACAGGATTTTGGTAAGAATGCAAGTGTAAAACAGAGGATTACAAAAACACATGAAAAATATAGAAATGACTGTTTGATTAGACCGCAGGAAAAATATAGGAATCAGATAAGAGAGATAGACTCAAGGAAAGTTTTCTAAGAGGTTAGAGTGGATGTTAATTTTCCTACGTTTTTGCTCTAGAATTGTAGGAATAGGAAAGTTTCCTACGTTTTTCCTTTTTTTATTCCTATGAATCAAAGGCATAAATAGTGTATGATTTCAATTTCTTTGTTTTTCCTCCATTTTTCCTCTAATTCAAAGGGGGCCTAAAGCAGCGGAGGTGGAGGTGTAGCGTGTACTGGTAGTATGTACTCTGAGAAAGTGAGAATAAACCTTGGCTTTTGGGTTGGGATTCATCCCTCCTTTATACCTTTTTCGCAGTGCAAATTCAGAGACGAGAAGGTACGCACCATCGGATCGGCAGCTCGGCTTTGACAAATCCGTATCGTGTACACCCATCCTGCCATTCACGCTCCAAGCTAGTACTACGTCCATTTCTGAACGCCAAACGCATCGGCGGCAGGGCATCGTTGTCTGCAGTTGCACTAGCTCTGCAGCCTGGTCGTTCTGGAACAACCGAACAAGTGCGTTAGTTACAGAGAAGAACGTTACGTTCTTCGTGTCAGACTCACAGAACCGTCGATGCAGATGGAACCGAGGAATTCTTGGAGTAGAGCGGAACAGAGAGACTAGCTAGTCCAGTACATACGGTGGCGTTCGCGGATCGGTCGGCCGGGTGGGTAAACGCAACGGTCACTTTACGCGCGCGAGGTTGGGCGGCTGCATCGCCCGGCGCTAGCTGTCACCTTTACGCAGCGATGGGCCGATGGCTCGGCGCGGCCTTGTACCGTAGTGGCACAGGGCGTCGTCGTCCCCTTGCGAAAACCTGGAGAAAAAAGACGGGTTTTAAACGTTGGAAAGTGTCGGGCGGGCGGCGAGGCAGGCGGCGAGAGAACGACGGGTCGAAGAAACGGAGGACTCTGAGAAAGAAACAAATTCCTAAAGGAGGTGCGGCTCGCCGGCCCACACGCGATCGATCTCATCTCCTCGTCCTCGGTGTTGAGGGCCCAGAGCACCAGGGTGCTCGTCCAGACAATGACATGTGGGACTCACGAGAAATATTCCGTTTATAGGCCAAGGAGAACAGAGGGGGTGGGGCTTCCGCAATCGATTATCTTTCGCACGCTCTCTCTGTGGTCGCCGGCTACACTAGCGGTAGCAGCTAGCAAACGCCCAAGTGCCCAACGTGGCTCGAGTTTGCGTTGCCAGCAATACTACCCTCCCGCCGGCCGCCGCACGAGCTCTCGCGCCTTCGCACTCCACCGCGCTAAGCTCGTCCATTGGCCATTAGAGCTCGTTCACTCTTCACACCGCACAGGATCGGCGGCTGCCCCCATCAATCTCGCTTGAATTGGCCCGGAGGTTATCTATCTATCTATTATATTATTAAAACAGCTTTGAAAAGAGACACCATATTCGCTGTGGGGACTAGAAATTCCCACATTAATAGAAGAAAAAGAAAAGAAAAGAATAGAAGAGTCCAAGTAGAAATACAATCTAAAAATAGCTAAAATTCGAAATTAAAACAAGCAATATTGAAAGAAGTTTCCATATAAGAACCCAATACGAGATTAATCAAAATTCGAATTAAAATAAATAAAATCTAAAATTAGAAAAAAAAAGAAGAGTCCAAGCAATAGAAGTTTCCATATGAGAACCCAATACGAGATTAATTAAAATTCAAAATAAAAATAAAATAAAATCCAAAATTAGAAAAGAAAAGGATAGTTAATACAATTTTAAAATAGCTGAAATTCAGAATTAAAAATAAGAAATATTAAAAGAAGAGTCCATATAAAAACCCAATACGAGATTAATTAAAATTAAAAATAAAAATAAAAATAAAACCCGAAATTAGCAAAAGAAAATAAAAGAAGAGTTCAAGTAGGAATAAAATTTAAAATTAGCTGAAATTCGGAATTAAAAATAAGCAATATTGAAAGAAGAATCCATACAAGAACCTGTTAACAACCAAATTTGGTAAATTCTATCACTATTGGCATCGGAGGTGAAGATCAGATCAAAGTGGAATCCAAGATGAAGATCGTTGCGGAAACAGAGTAAGAATCGACTGCAGTCCAAATCGGCTAAGGTCAGGTTGGCAGAGTTCGAGTCGGACGGGGTTAGCCGATACAGCCGATTCCGATAATTTGACTCGGTGTACGTCATCGGGTTCAAGTTGATGTGCTTCAAGATGATTGCCATGCATGGATAGAGTCATGGGAAGGCAATTATATCTATTAATTAGGATATTCTATGTAATTTCCTTAGAGATATGTTTGGGCAAAAGTCTGCCGTAAAGACTTATGGTATCTTAGAGTTTGTTAGAGATAATAGTCATGTCTGTTATGGACGTATCTTTTCTCGGGTATAATAGACCCGAGCCCTATGTAAAAAGGAGACATCCAATACAATCTCGGCGCATCGCCACCCTTTATGCTTTACTTTTATTTCGATGAGTTCGTGCTCTCGGGTTGAGCTGCATCGGTTTCGATCTTCAACAAGAGGTAAAACTTGTCATGAGGACTTATGTTCTCAAGATTAGTGCTTCCATCTTTATGACACTCTAATCTTGTCTATATAATTCGTCGAGTTATCATATATCTCACATAATCTTTGATAATATCTTCATCTAACCTATAATCGGCTAACATCTGTTAATGGAAGGTAGTCGATTAGGTTAGATAATGATGTTAACTTAGACTATGTGATATATCTACCACTCTATGAAACTTCCAGCGGCTTGATTGTCTAGATATTGTTTTTCTTTTCATACTTAATGCTGCATCAGTTAAGTTTGATATATTAAGTCGTGCTTAGAATTGCAATCTCTAGCCTGCTTTCTGGTTGCTGATTAGGGTAGTATCGGAGTTTCAGCCGATCTTATCTGATTTAACTACTTTTATTCTATATGCTTGATTGACATGTTAAATCTGGTTGCTGATTAGGGTAGTATCGGAGTTTCAGCCGATCTTATCTGATTTAACTACTTTTATTCTATATGCTTGATTGACATGTTAAATCTGCCCTTTATGTTAAGATCTTGTCGCATATAAGTATATTAAGCTTATGTTTAGTATATTTTACTTGCTTTAAAATCTTAGTATAGAGTAGTCGTGCTTAGAATTGCAATCTCTAGCCTGCTTTCTGGTTGCTGATTAGGGTAGTATCGGAGTTTCAGCCGATCTTATCTGATTTAACTACTTTTATTTACTTGCTTTAAAATCTTAGTATAGAGTAGTATCGGAGTATTAGCCGATACATGCTAGATCTACCTGATCGGCTATGCTATGAATTGGCTTTCATAGGTCATAGACTACCCTCACAGACCAACACATGTCTTTTCTGCACACTTTGTCCTCACTCGTGTGCACCCGGGAAGAATTTCCCGGTCGGTCACCCATCCCAAATTGCTCCA